CCACAGCTGCTGCTCCCGCAGCCCCCGTCGCTGCTGGCGTCGGCGGCCTGGGCGCGCTCGGCGGCGAGCGCGAGGAGGCGGTCGCGGAGGCAGGGCGCGCACACGCCCACAGGGTTGGCGTAAGGGTGGAGCTTACCTCATCTCCCAGCGCTCATCACGCCGGCCAGCCGCCGCCGCCCTCCGCAGCCACAGCGCCGAGAGGAAGGAGCAGCGGCAGATCGCGAGGCGCAAGAGACTGGAGCAGCGCGGTTGGTTGGTTGGGTTTGGATTTTGGCGTGGCCTTTGTAGCAGCAGCGTTGCAGTTGTACCGCGCTGTGCAGCAGCAGGGGCAGCTCGGATTTTCCTCGGCGCTGCGCTTGCGCCTGTCGGCCTGTGCTGTGCCTCTGCGCTGTGGCCTGTGGGAAGACCGGAAGAGTGGTTGGGCTGGGCGATGGCGCCGTAATGGCTGGGATTTATTTTGGGGAGAGGAAGGACGGGGGTGGGGACTCGGAACGAAACGGTGTGGAGGGTGGGGCCCTGGCGCAGGCTACTCCCGCTAGTCTGGTTCAACTCACCGAACCGCCTCGTCTGGCGATCGTCTGGCGATGGGAGTCCGACGGAAGCTTCTCGGTCCGATCGGCTTATCAGGTATTACATCTCGGTTCTCACCCCATTCGGGGCTGCGTCAGGATTTGGGAGGTGTGGGCGCCCGCTCAAGGTCAAAATTGTTTCTCTGGTACGGTGGTTATGCCGACGATGGGCAATGGAGACCAGGGAAAGCAACATGGGCTTCGATGCCGCGCGACACACACTTCTGTGCGATCGAGGAAGCAAACCATTGATCACATCATCGTCGAATGTTGTTCGCCGCGATGACGATTTGTGGTTAAAAAGCTGACCCGCAGCAGGGCAACTTCGGTAGAGAGCAACCCGGTACGGCGCCATTGTCACGACTAGTGGCGGACACTGGAAACTCTTTGGCCGGCGTCATTTGTAAGGCGTAGACTCCATATTGGCGCTAATCGGCAATCTGGAAAAGAAACGTAATCGCGTTGTTTCGCGGAAGCGACCACATAGATTCCGTGATCAAGGCAACCATCAAACCGAGTGAGCTATGGGTCAGGCCGGTCTGAAGCACCTATATTTGTTTAATTGATGAGTAATAGGTTAGAGAAGAAGTTGACTGGCGGTGGAGTGCGCTTTCGGTGTTAACCTTATAAACCACCAGAGATGTAACAAAACTATTCTTCTAATACAAAGCGGCGTAAATCTTTGCGTGATTGAGAAAAAACTCCGGGTTCATTTTTTTATTAAAAAAGATAAAACAAAATAAAACTCAGTCTTCCTCTCAGAAAAAGTCTCTGCTCAACAATGCTTACCTGATCTTGTCTAAGCACATCTGTTGCGATTTATATAGAGACCATACATTGAGAATGAACTCACCAAAGGAGTTAGATATAATATAATATAAAAATATATAACCACAGATTTGCAAATGAGAAATTTCACACTGACAAGAAAAGAATTGGCAATCACTTGACAGATTCCACCTCAAAGTTTAAACAATTATAGTCCATCGAGCGTAATTCACTAATCCAAAACAAGCTAGCGTACTCTAGGGAAATTACACTGTTTTACATTAATTTACTACGTCTAACAACAAAAGCAACCAACGCTAAATATGTGAATGAATGGCATGCTGATTCTAACATTGCTAAACAGGGGAAACCGTTTAAACGGAGTTATTGCCGGTAGGAGTAGGACGTCCATATGCACGGGATTTATTGCCCCCGTTGTCGCTGACGGACAAAATTGAATACGTCGGGGACAGGACCCATATATATGCTTGGTGAGGGGAAGGAATCAAGGGCGCCGGTTCTTTATCATCTCCACCCTCCTCCCCTTGCGAGGACGTCCTCTTCCTCTCGCGTGTTTTGTTTTGGGATCGGACTCATGCCCCTTCAGGCTCAACCGGCGGTAGGGTGTAGAGTGGTGCGTGTACAGTCCCCTAGCCTCCTAGGTCGATTGGGCTCAAGTCAAACGTCAAAAACGCCGGCACACGCCATGAAACAGTGCCGGTACAGTCGTACAGATTTGTTTGCTGGAGGCGTATACCGTCTCTGTTTGATTATTGCTCTGCATTTTCGAATTCTTCCTATGGTATATTCGTCGGAGTATGCATACCACTCCGTGGATGAATAGTAGATATAATAACAGTGCCAAGTGCTCGAGAGAGATAGACCGACAGGCGTGACGGGAGAAGCTTCCATCCATTTGGGTCCGTGTTCTGGCCCGGACATGCGTACAGGAACAAGGCTTGTCCAGGTTTGGCGGCAGACAACAACAGCAGCTGACAGGGGAGGGAGGAGCAGTTGAATAGTGTTTTCCGAGGAGGATCGGCGGGTGAGGGTGACCGGGGAGACGCCGACAGAGCGCCGGCCCTCCCTCCCCGCGCACGACATGCGAGCAACGACGCCCTCACGCCCGTCTGTCCGTCCGCCGAGGAGGGATGGATCATTGGGGGTGGAGACCGGAGAGGAGCGCGTGGGCGCTGCCCGTGCCTGGTATGCGGCGAGCAGCAGCGCCACGGGATTACATGTGCAACCAAACTACTTTAAAAGCTTTTTTTTTTATTTCCTCGACCTTCGAATATAAGCTGTAAACTTACGTACTAACAGTTGTGACACGACCACGCGAGGCAACTGGAATTATTTTGGGACCTGCCCCGGCCCCGGATCGAACTCGCATCCGATGGTTCGCACACCAGCGAACAAACCGTCCGAGCTAGCGCTCGGTCAGGGGGTGGTCAGCGGCAGAGAAATTATAAGCTCGACGAGGAAGGCCTGCACGAGGAGATTACTCATTACTCGTTCGGTGATCCGGTCCGACCGACCACTCACTAGATGCCTAGACGTGCCTTAATCGACCAACCGCCACATGAGACAGGAGTATATGTGTGCTACTGCTAAGTACGTAATGGCCAACAACTACCGGCCGGCCTATTCTTCACCTTAAAAGAATACTGCCCCCAGAGATAACTACTGGCATGTTCTTTAGTATTTATACGCTAGTAAAGTCCAAAGTGCGGCCCTGGATTTTGTTCAGGCATTAGCGTCACGACCGTGACAGATAACATATAAGCAATTAGTAGCACTTGTTACCACCATCAATCAATATTGGTCGGAATTTTTTGAGCGGCTATTACGCACTGGTACTGTGGATTGGCAGCGATGCCAGTTTGGAACTGTACAAAATGTGGACAGCCGGAACAGCTAATGATCATATCCATGGTGATGGACGTGCTCTAAAAAGCCTACAATCCAATTTGGGTGAGGTTTTCAGCAATGAGGAAGACGGATCAAGGCCTGATTAATACTAGGAGCACATTTATTCTGACTGGCAGGTCATGGTGACAGCAACTTCACCGGAAACACTAGTAGATGACGTGTATGGCTCCTAATTACAATTTCGTGTTCTTAGGACGACCAATCCAGTCTGCTGAAGATGCATGAACTCGTCAAAATCAGGACAGCACGTCATGCGTTTAGCGTTTCTATTCCAGAAGACCTGTTCTACGCGGGAACTCATGGAAGGGCGCACGGCGGGCAAAACCTCCTCTAGAAAGCGTGAATCCATGGCCAGCACGCGAGGATTTCCCGGACGAACCAAAAGGTCAGATCAACGGAATGCGAGTGGGACAAATAAGCATCGCGAAATTGACCAAGGCTTATGCAGGGCTTGACTGACCTGATCCCTGTTTCGGATGGTTCTGCACTGCACGCGTCATCCATCCCGGATGTGGAAAATGTCAGCAATAACGCTAACAAAAGATACTCGTAGATGGCAGACGGGTCTTGCTGGTCCAGCAGGCCGAGAATGTTCAGACGCAATACCAGTATTGTTTATCGAACGGCTCCCAAATAACTTCCTGATTCAATTGCATGGTAATGCTCGCAGCCAACAATGTGGATTTATTCTACAGTGTGTTTGACTAGTGGCAAGTTGCATAAAATATATTTGTCATTAAAAGTCCGAATTCTGCAGTCTACACGACTACACTTAGGCCTTGTTTAGGCCCTTGTTTGAATTCTAAAACTTTTTCCAAAAAGTCTACTGATTAAGCAAAATCACATCGAATTTTGCGATCGTGTATGGCATTAAATGTAAACGAAAAAAAAATTAATTACACAGTTTGGTTAGAAATGCTTGAGAATGACGTTTGAGCTAATTAGTCCACGATTGAACACTAATTCTAAAATAAAAACGAAAGTCTTACGATTTATTTAAATTCCCAAAATTCACGAACTAAACAAGGCCTTAGTAAAAGGCAGGAGAAGAAGAATCTGCATGTGCATCCTACTACTACAGAATCTACGTATCATGAACAAAATTCATTCTCATTCGTGCATACAAGTTTGCACATGGGTTACGAAGGACTGAGAGATTTGCACGTAATAAGAGTTGGGAGTTGAGACATAGATACAACACAAGCAGTCAAGCACACAACTGATATTAACAGGCTAAGATACGAGACAGGTGATCGGTCTAGTAATACTTGACAACCAATGTGCATAATAGCTAGCTGCTAATTCTGCATTAGTCGAATTACAATGTGTCTAATGGAAGACAAGTGTTACCTTCCTCGTGTCCATGACATGGAATCAATCTCGTCGAGCAGACTTGTACAGCTCAAGCCTCTTAAAGCATTGCAACCTGCGTTCCATGAGGGCAGGATCCTCGTCAAGGAGTACTGCAAGTAGCTTAGTCTGCAAAAACAAAATTTATTTACTGGAAAAAAAATGCTAGGAGGAGGAATGAACAAGCTAGAACACAAAGAAAGGTTACTCACATCTTTCCCACCCACTTGAGTATAGAAATCATTAAGCAGGGACACGCTTAGCTTCGCGGACCTGACAGTGGACAACAGACTTGGGGATAGTATTCTTCAGCGTTTCAGATACCATGCCAATGTGAGGACACATTAGAAAACAATCCTCCTGAAATGTGCATCAGTGTAACGATCATCCGAAGGAGCAGGAGGGTTTGCAGTCCTGGAGTTTCAGTTCAGTCTTATCAACTTCCTGTAGGAGCTTGCGGAAGAACTCCACAGTCAAATATACTGACTCCATATCAACCAGCCGTGAAGTAGTTTTCCTGCCATCTTCACGGAATCTCTCAAGGGCCTTATAGCATGCAGCAGCAAGCTCCGTTTGTAGAGTTGGAAATCGTTTTCAACTCCTAAAGATGCAGTAACTTTTTTGTAACTAATGTACAAGGGAAAAGGGTGTAACTGATGCTTTTAACTAAGAAACCAAGGGCCAACCTGAGTCTCCCCAATGGATATCCTCACCAGCTCTTTCAAAACAGAATGCACCTGCAGTGATGTATAAAGACTCTTCAGTTGATGAAAGAAAGTACTAATACAATCAGCACAGGAAGAAGATTTCTTACAGCATCTACAGAAGCTTCAGCTGGACCTCTAAAATAATTGAGAGCAGATTCAATCAAGGCCCGGTACCCTTGCTCAGGAGCAATTAAATGAGGCTGATAACCATCTGCCTGTGATACAACCCGCTTCACATTTTGCACGGAGGTGGCGATCAAATGGAAGCTTCCATGAAGCAGAAGGAGTTGGTTATCAAAGACCCCATAAATTCTATCACCACCAGGTCGTCTACAAATTTTAAATTGCATTTAATATTAAGGACAGCCAGAACAATAATCAGATTGACAGTAAATCAATTAAGAAAAACATTGATATGAGGTTTACCCTCCATCAAGATGTTCTTTAAATATTTTGTCAAATGCAGCAAAGCTCCAGGATGAGGTACAATTGAGCCTGCAAAAAGAATAGCCATGATGTCCCTATGTCCATTTAACTCCAATGCACTTCAACTCAAAATTTCAGTAAAGATTACCCCAGCATCAGAGGCAATAGGTCTACCAAGGTGATCCATCTCAGATTCAAGCTCATCAATAGTTTTGTTTATCAGAGAGGTTATGCTCGAGAATCGTGATCTGATAGCAGCCTCTAGATGCTGAAAGATTGAAGCAGCACTGCATCATGTGCCGTTTTTAGATCACTAACAGCATAAATGAAAGCAATGCAAGATTTCTTGAACCTGTGAAAGAAGTTTAGCAAGATATTCTGAACCCATCCTGCTGGCAAGATGAGAATATTCAGGACTAGAATCAAAGAACTCTTGCTCTTTTTCGCCTAGCAATAATCATGTCAACATTCCTGTTGATATCTGCTTATGAACAGTTCACAATTCCAACCCAGGGATGCTGCAGTCTGTAAGCTCTTCCTTCGAGAACCTAAATGAAATAAAAAGAGGGGAAGTTACAGAGTCAATGGCAATAAAAACAAAAAATTCACACAGAACAAGAGACCACAGAAAGCGTCGTCAAGTGCATTTGTTCCCTTGTCCATTAGATCAAGCTTTGTCAACACACCAAATGTCCTCTCACCTGAAGAAATTTAAGATGATCCTAAGCCAAGGAATTAACTAGAAGCGAATCAAAGGATAGGACTTTGTCAGCATGGAGATTCTCAAATGATAATTAACCTTAATTTTGGAGAAAGTGAAACAGTAATCTAAGTCAAATTACTGACACTTGGAAAACTCCTGAATCATTCCACTTTACTCTTATGTCAACTTCTTACACCATCCAAAGTTGATGATCTAGTAGCTGACATGAGTTTACAGCTTCACGTTCTCTTATTTTATTAGTGTTCACAACCATCATGTTTCCTGGCACTTTTTTAGATAATGTAGTTTGTAGTAATCATATCGCACCCTCTGCATCAGCAGATGCACACAGTGACAAATTTATTACCTCATTTAGAACTTTGCTACATACCATAAAACTAAGATACAGCAAGCCAAGAGTTTGAACACTACTGTGGTGACCTCAACAACAAAATTTTGAATGTTCTGGACTTATAGACATGATAAGGTGACAGATATACTTCAAATGAGGTTTGTTAGCAAGTGTCTTATTTTTCCATTATACAAATGGTTAGGTAACAGGGTAGTTCATTTAGAAACTGGTAGAAGTAACAAGGAAGGGAAGTCTATAATCAGTTAGTACAAAATGCCCCAAATTTGCAGAGTTGGAGTATGGTATGCTTCAACCTGCAACATGCTAACTAACAAATGCTCTTAGGTTCTACCCAACACACTGAAACAAGCAAATGGTCTCTATCCTAAAATGATGTGCATGCAATCATTGTTGGAAATAATCCTGTGTGTCTAGGTGCATGCTAGTGTCTAGGTTCATAGCCTTTACTTTAGCTAAATTTCAGCATGGAGTAATAGGAGTAATAGGCTGATTATTTGGGTAATATTCTGCATTAATTAGGAGGCTATCACAGCCACAATTGTAGCTCTCAGCACTGTATAAAGCTAGGAGGAAAATCAGAAAAAGCTCAAGTCATTCCAGCCACCAAAACCATTGTGTTCGTGTGTATCTTGTGTGTGAGAGTTCTTGGTGACCTGTTAAGAGGCTATTTGTTCACACGAGCACATATGATGTGGACAAGTTTTGAAATGATCAAAGAAAAGGTTTTATTAGACATATGTGAAACGAGAATACACAAGTATTCAAACTCACAATCAAAGTAGGTATCATCAGCTAATAAAAGTAATATACCATGGAAAAACAAGTGTGCTATCTTGATTCATACCAGTTGGATCCACTTCCGGGCAAGCTTGATTGCATCTGATGTTGCTATATCTTGATTGGCAGGAGATATAGCCAGTATAAGACAATTCGGCTGCAAAGAAAATACAAAAATTCAAGACACCTTGTTGATGTGATTGAGAATGTAACCGTATGCAATAAGCAAAGTGCCAAAACATAGAGTAGGTATAGGAAGTTAGGAATTGAATTGAAGATAGAACAGGCATAATCAGGCATAATAATTCAGTCCATGCTATAGAATTCTACCCAGTCTTACACTTAGTAGATCTGCTCGTGAGATCAAGTGTTATAGTTAGATGCTCTTGAATAGACTATACAGAGTATTTCCTCACCATTTCAACTAAAAACATGGTTTAAAATAGTGGACTGCGCCATTTAGCAGCGGCCTCCTCCAAGAGCCATGAAAAGTTATAGCGGATACAACGAAGCTATTTCATTTAGTGGTTTTATAAAAAAATGGAAATTGTCAATTAATTATGAAAAAAAACATGAAACTAACAATATTTCATAAACATAATACTTGAATACATAAAAAATTCTCTAGGATACATGTCCCATGTCTTAACAATCATTCAATAAAAAATATAATATATTCACGGCTATAATCAACATTCATATTCACTCAATTCACAATGAAGAAATAAACTCAACAGTTACTCAATGGCTCATTACAACATTCATTGAGTAAAAAACACAATGAAGAGGCATAGAATTCTATTCATCTACAGCAAAGAGTGGACATTTGACTCAGCTAGCATTAGTGGTGCTAAACAAATTTTGCTGCAAAGACAAATAGCAGTGTTTAGTGGAACCATTTTAAGGTGCAATAGCAAAAGAATTGGCAATATCTTAGAGGTAGGCCCTCTGAAAATGCTCTAGCGCTATTTAGAACCATGAATAATAACAAGGTAAACATCAGTGGCTTTAATTCTATTTTGTATGACCACTAAAGGTGCACTTCTACCAACGATGCAAGTGTTACGCCATTTAATTTAAGAAACAACATGCAAAATATGTCAAGGTCATAGTCAGTTTTAGAGATATGTGCATCATTCATACCTTATCAACATACGACAGCGCACCATGCTTTTTCGATATCCTGAACAATGCTTTCAGGCTGCCCTCTGAAAGAGAGAACATAATCAATGAAACTTCTCCTGAAAAGGCCCACCTAATACAAGAACGTGAACAAAAAAACAATAAACACATTTACATACCTACTGCAACTTTTGTTAGACCCGGCAGATCAATCAATGTTAAGTTGACCACTGCAATAATCGATTGAATTGAGTAAATAAATATATACTACAAAGATTCAGGAGCTCAGAGATGCTTTTTGCATATAAATCAACTGCTCTACAAACTAGTCAACAAGAAGCGCCCACTAACATCAATTTCAATTATTAAAACATGACCAGGAAAACAAAAGGAAACAAAAAACATTGCAATGCAGCTTTTGTCAGAAAGAAGAGATAAAGTGCTATACACATAGCATTCGACTGAGATTTTAGATTCAACAACTAAAAGCAATAGCAATAATCTCCATTTTTCTTTTTCTTGAAAAAAGCAGTGGCAGGTTGTGCCCAGGGCTTAGATACCATGTGGAGAGTATATGCTGAGATGAATTGGAACTGGAGATATTTGCTTTGTCTTTCCAGTCAACCTGTCAGTTTCATCTTGGATTTCCTTCCGCACAAGAGCTGCAGAGAACAATAATTGTTGGCATCTGAGATAAGTACTTCAGCCATTTCCATGTACTGAAAAATACCAAATCCACTCTGAGATCAAATGGCAACTGCTTCTTACTAAGTTTGTGCATTCTACTTTTGAATACATGTTGCAAAGCATGATAAAATGCACATGATATTTGAACTAGCAGCACAACATGGGAAACACAAAGATGATCATGCCATTTACACAAGTCGAATACTTCTTAGACCCCAATGGCAATGGTAGGTGCAACATAGCAAGTAAGGTAAGAAGTGTCATCCTCATCGAGCAGAAATTTTGAAGAGAACTCAAATAGGAGACAATACAATTGCACACTGGCAGAACCAAATTCGTTAATAACTGAATAATAGTAAGACACAGCGTCTGCTGGCAGAAATATAGTATACAATTATTAGTTTCAGTAAACAGTGCATCTTGCGACGGTAAACATGGCCAATCAAGCATTCAATTATACTAGCAATCAACTTACCAACAAACCAATTTCATAGCAGCTTAGGCCAAGAATAAGTGAATAACCCTATATCGCTGAAGATGACGAAGGATGCTTACCGAAATCAGTGAAGCGGCGCTTGGGCATGTGCAGGAACTCGGCGTACTCCTGCACGCCGTCCTCCGTCTTGTGCAGCTGCAGTACGAGTGGCCTACGAGTCACGATCCCTTCCAATCCAAACACAGACCAAAAACCATAAAATTTCGAGCCCAAAAAAACATGATTCAGTGAATGAAGAAGGTAAAAATCTCTTCATACCTGACCCTCGAGGCAGGAAATCTCGCCCCACGATGCTCTCGAGCACCGATGATTTCCCCGAACTCTGTACATGGCCGCCCAATTAAGCGCCTCGTATTTGAACTACGGAACAAAATCCTAGGCGAGCAAGCACCTAGAGGTGACGGAAAGGAGGCGGACCTGACCGCCGACGACGGCGACTGACGGGAGCGCTTCCCAGAGGGCGGCGACATCCCCGCCGCCGTGGTCGCCGAGGACGGTGCAGGCGCGCTGGATGCGGTTCACGAGCACGATCACGTTCTCCATGGTAGCCATCTTCGGGGTGGGAGGAGGAGAAAGAGCTGTGCGGCGACGGAGGGGGGGTGGAAGGTTCTAGAAGGCAGCGGAAGGATCGAGGGGCAGAGCGCCCCCCACTGCCTGCCTGTGTCTGAGGTGTGCGAGCCGAGCAGATAGAGGCGTCGCTGCTGCAACCCGTAACTGCTTCCCCTTTTTCTATTTCTCATCCGATTTTGCCTCGCTCTTTTCCAAGTCGTCGAGCGGGAACTGCTTTGGTTCACCGAAATTATTGAAGAGATTTTAAATATTTATTTATTTCAAAAAAGATTCGTGAGAGAAGGTAAGTAGCAGGTTAGCAGCTGTAGACCATCAATGGTAAAAACGCAGCTGTAGAGGTCCTATATTCATACGGGGCGGGGCAGCTACCATCTGGATGTCCGGCAGCATAACGCGTTCAGAGGCTGCTCCCATTCAAGCGTAACATCATGTCCATCCCACCACGTGAGCGCCCACCAAACCCATGTCACCTGCGACATCCTCAACCTTGCTGCGCCGCGCTAGCCACGCCCCTTTCCCTCAGCGCCGCCTTCCCCGACGCGTCCGGTCGCCGAGCTCGAATTGCCGCAATGAGATAGAGGAAAGGAAGGGAAGGAAAGGGAGGAGGGAGGAGGAGAGGAGAGGCGAGACGCGCGCACGAGGTAGGCGCAAGTCCTACAACATGCCGTTGTTCGTCTGGTCACCGGTGTTATTGCAATATGTGCAACACCGGTCTATTTTTTAAAATATGCAGATGAAACATTTGCAACATACGTTCAAGATAGATGAAACAATTGAAACATGCGTCTAAAACACTTGTAAAAACACCTAAAACACTTGAAAAACCATTTGCAAAACATATGCAACATCCGGATAAAATATTTGCACATATGTGTGAAACATATGCAACATCCAATTAAACACACTTGCAACATCGTTTGAAAAAATAAATGAAACATTTGGGCAGACGCTTACAACATATGTGTATAGCCATTGCAACATATGCAACATCACGATCTACTTTTGCAAGAAATATGTGAAAACACTTGAAACATACGCTTGCAACATGCGCTTTTAGCAAAACCACGACAAAGTGAGCACTCCACGGTGGGATCCGACATTCGATCGTGGCGGAGAAGGAAGATGCAAAGATAGCGGCGGTACGCCATCTAAGCCGACCTAGGCGTGAGTGGCAACAGCGCCGACCGATGCTGACCATAGTACGCGTAGCCACCCCAACGGCTACCCAATCGGGGCATAAGCGGAATGAGAAGCGAGAGGCGTGAGTGGGAGCGCGCGACGGGTGGGGACAAGGAAGCGGCGATACGAGATGGGTCGTGTATGACGGGAAGCGTGGCGACAATGACAAAGCAAAGCGTGTGGCGGGGAAGCCTTGACAGTAGCTGAGGCGGAGTGGACGCGCGGCGTCCAAAAAGGACGGACCTCCGTGCCCTATCATTATCGATATTCATATACATTACTATTGATGTGACGAAATTTAAAAAAAATGAAAATTAGCTGCAGACACTGTAAGTGGCTTAAAATCGAGCATGTACAAATCGCATGCGTCCCTTCTTGTAAACGACTTGTTCTTTTCTAGACCTTCAACAACCCTCGGCAAATTCCCGTCTTGTACTCTCGTTTGCTAGAATTCGCAAGGATAGTTTCGGAACGAAAGTTGAGACGGCGGGCGGATAAGGACAGTGGGGCCTTGTCTAGTGGATGGATAGAGACATGACAGTTTGTTGAATGTCTTTCAAAATTTCTCCTCAGATTTGAAACCTTTGTCGATTGCATGGTGGGCCACCCTAAACTATCAAATGGGCCAAAATTAGGTCAAAAGGAAACAACAACGACCCCAACCATATATCCACGAGAAGAAACCATGGAAAAAGTTCACATTATCTCATCAACTTTTGCGGCTTTTCCTCCCTAAACTCTAAGACCGGTTAAACCATCTCCACAATTTTTTAAAACCGTTCGTTTCACCTCCTTACTGGTTTAAAAGGCGATTTTGTTTTTTTTTTTTTTATTTATTTCGGCTAAATCTTTGAAAAATCATAGTAAATCATAAAAAAATCATAAAATGAAAACATAGATATGGCATTAAAGCAAAATTGGGCCTGTGTAAGAAAAGAGAAATTGGGCCCAAACAAGGCCTTTATATTGTGAAACAAGAAACGAGGCCTTTATATAGCTGCCGGCCTTAATAACCTTTTGGGCTTCCATTTTTTCTTTGTGCGATGAGTGGAGTTAATTATTTGTTCTCCCCTCGTTTAAAATCCTCTTCCATTTTTCTTTTGTGTGATAAGTGGGGTTAATACATGTTTAAAATCCTATTTAAGTTTCTATTTCTTCAAACGACATGATCCTTTGTTTGCAATAAAAATGTAAGCCATAAAAAGTAGATCATTCTCTTCAATCCTAGAGCAGTTTTTTATAGCACTTTTATTTATGAGCTTCGATTCACCCCCATACATACAAACATGTTACAAAACACGTACAGGCGTGATTACACAAGATAGAAAAAGATCTTTCCTCCATTCTACTCGATGAAGTAGAAGCGCAGGAAGGTCGGTATGCGCGTGTGCCCAATCAGACTGATCAGTTCAGTTGGTTGTCGCGCTTGAGCTTCTTTTCGGCCAGCATGCCCTCGATGGCGGCCTTCCAGACCTTGCAGTGCGTCTGGTGCTCGAACAGCAGCTGCACCGTCACCCCTTCCTCTGACGTGATCAGCGCCACCGGGAACGCCGGCCGCCCCTCCACCACCGTCTCGCCGCCGCCGTCTCCAACCGCCGAGACCACATCTGAAAATCATCGTCGCCACCAAACGGCAGATGAGCAGATAGATCAGTCGGTGGATGGAGCCGGTATCAAGTATCAACACAGTATGCGGCCAAGCCGCTGGGAGCCAAATCACAACAGCGACGCTAGTACCAAGGTACAAACAGACCAATCGTGACGGGACTGGACCGGCCCTGGAAGATTGATTGGGTCGTTAGAGACAAGCGTGTCGGCAGGGGCAACCGGCCAAACGCCAAACGGCTCAGGTGTTACGGTGCAGTGACGTCGCGGTACAGGCAAGCGCCTCGTCGTCGTCTTCCCCGGACCGGCCGGCCAGCCGAGCGCGCGGCGACACAGAGTGCGCGCACCCACGCGCATGCACGCGCGCGGCGACGACGCGGCAGCGGAATAGCGTTGTGAGATGACTGCTTGCACGAGCTGTTACTTACAGTCCTTGAAGGTGGCGAACGCGCCGTGCAGGCGCTTCTTCCCCAGCCGCAGCACCACCGCTGCGCCGTCGCCGCGCCGCGGGAAGACGGACACCGTCCTCACCCGCACCCTTCCTGCACATATAGGCACCCAAGCAAATACGCAGACAGTAATCAGTTGCAGGGTCAAGCTACACACAATAGCGATGCACAGCTACTACCACAGAATAGATGCATGTCGTCTCTCACCACAAGGCAGACAGACTCTGAGAGTCGTGCCCTTCTGGATGCCAGCGCTGACGCTCATGGCCATGGCGTTGCTGCTGGTGCTGGTGCTGATTCCCCTGAGGTCAGCTGCCCTTTGCTTCAGCGTCGCGGCTCCCCTCAAACCTGGCAGAAGCATCAGACACGAACATGTAATCAGTTCCCCTTCATTCTGAGTTTGTCACGTTAAATTTTGGGCGTGGTTTGCCGGTGCTACATGTGGCAGCGGAAGCAGTGAGGGTGAGCAGCTCGGCGGAGGAGCGGCTCTCGAGGCCGGTCCTCACGGCCGACGTGACGCGGCCGCGGTTGGCGCCGGCGGTCTCCGCGGCCTCAGCGCACACGGTGGCCACCAGCGCCGCGGCGGACGCGAGCACCGCGCCTAGCCTCCTGTCGCCAGCGCTGGCCGAGGCCGCCGGCCTCAGGTCGCACGCCGACACGATGCCGCGACCGCCGCAGCGAGCTGCGCCACCGACACGGCAGCGTGCGCCTGCGCCGTGTGCAGCCGGAGCTCGTCCTCCGCCTTCTCCGCCGGCTTCCGGTGAGTGGCACGCTGTCCGGCAGGAAACCACGCAGCATCGCCTTCATATTTCCAACTTTGAGCTGCAAAAAAAAAAAAAAAAAAAAGAAAGAAAGAAAGAAAGAAAGAAAAGGAGCAAGCGAATCAAACAAGGCAGTTATTGTACCAGTTCCGACAAGATATCAGCTGTGCTATCCTGTTTGTAATAACAACTGGCTAGTATCTTGTCCTTACTCCTTACTTACCCAGGCAGGCTGGACGAGCTTGTACCGGCGCTGTCCGCAGTTAGGCCTGCCGCCGGCTACAGGTCTCTGTCAGGCAAACCAGGGATCATCATTAACACTGGGGCAATAGTTCACTGCTGAGACGTGAGCCCAATGGCTGACTTACACATGTCTGATTGAACAATTGGTTTGTTGTTCCCCCATTAAAACGAACCGTGCCAAGATGCTTTTCTTTGTCTTCGCCTCCGTCTCCTCTTGCTTCATCTGGCTCTGGGTCCTCCAGCGATGATCCCAGGCTCTTTATTATATTACAATAGATAAAAGTAACCGTGAACAAAAGAGAAAACATTCTGCACACTAAAAAAAGGTGAAAAAAGATGCGTTTTTTTCTTCTAAGGAAGATCCATGCAGTAATAAATAGATAAGACTGAAGTGAAGCGTTACTGTAGGTTGTGCGAAGCATTATTTTGTATGTGGATTGTGAAACAATGGAGTGGCTTGAGAGAAGATGTCGCCACTCGGTTGGTGAAAACTGAAAAAGACATAAACATACACTGGGGGAGAGTATTTGGAAGAGATCCGAGGAGGAGGGGCTCCATGTCCGAGAGAGGAACTCCATGGCCTGCTCAGGGATGACTGGCATCTCTTCCAGGTGGCAGCACTTAGAATGCCGTGACTTCCCTTTACAGCGGATGTCCGCCTTCTGCGCATCGATCGGTGCGCTCTCTGCCTGTTTGAACATTCAGCAATGGCTATATATATTCACACCAAATGAAACAAATCTACAAGAGAATGATGCAGCAGCATGATGCTAAAAAAAAAAACTCAGTATATATATGTAGGCACTAGCTAGGAACTGATGATCAGAAGTTCAGAACAGCAGTTTAGTCCATCTCTTAATTTGTCACAAGATGCAGTTATGGCAGAGGCATAAACAGTTCTGAAAACTTAAAACTAGTCAGGTTATAGTAGCCTACTAGCCTTAGCCGACATCTATGGTCAGTTTCTATTATATAACTAAAAATCATGAAGCAAAGGTTTTGCATGATCACCAACCATTTGACATGACAGTGGATGGCATCTCTGGAAGGAGGCCATCCCAAACTCCACCCCTCGCTTGAAATGCTCCATCAGGGCTGCTCAAATCAGGCTCGTGGCTGCACTGAGCGATGCAACAGAACCGGATCAGTGAGGAAGAAGTGATGAAAAAAAAGATCACCCTAACACCGTCTATTTGTAGTTGATATATGAGGGGGCAACTTCTTGTCGTCCACTAAATGTGATATCAAAATCCTAGCTACAGAATAACTCCACTGTTTTGCGATTCGCATTTGTTACTCTGGACAATCCACTAGGAAACAACCAGTAGAGAACAATCAGAATTATTGAATCAGAAAAGGCCGGATTGCCTAATTGACTGTAGACACTAGACACAGTATGATTTGAGAACTTTGTTTCATGTGTGACGAGTCTGCTTTCCTATATCAAATTTGACCGGAGGAAGCTATATAAAAGTAACTGTTTCCTGCAGCTTTCGTTCATGCGTGGCTGATCACTGGAACTTTTCAAGTCTAGAACAGTTACAGACTTTCCAAGTCTATAATGACTGCAAAGACAAATGTTTAGAGGATTTAACGATGGTATCTATGGTGTTCAACTAATTTTACAAGGAAATAAAGAAAATAATGAAACCAAAGGAGCAGATAGGGACAGATGGGACTACAGTAGCAAGCAGATGAAAGGCAGCCTGAAGATAAGCAGTCCAGAGAGAGCAAGAGCTTACTTTAGCAGGAAGCCCTGGGTGCACTGATCTTGTGACACCTGCATGGCTCCAAGTCTTTATATTGTGAGAACATACGCAAAAAAGCTGAAGCATGCGGGTTTACAATGCACCAAGAGTACTCAGAAGGATTCAGTATTATAATTTGCATTCCCACGAAATCTTGATGTATATCGCTTCCATATCTCTTTCTGGGTTGAACTTCCCCATTGAGAACTTGTGGTACTCAAGGTAGACTAGTAAACGGCGATAATGACTTGAGCACATTGCTTCTTTTGGAATGGACCTTGCCAAAACTAAGCAGTTAGAACTAGAGTAATGTGGGGGGGCCAAGGAGGTGGTCCTGCTAATGGCAATTTGACATGGCGTATGATTGCCACTTATAGCAAATGAGTATACAAAATATGTAACGCCGTTCGCTTGACCGAGAAAAAAAAAGTTGTAAATGAGATGCGCATCATGTGCCATATATACGTGGAAATCTTCGAACAATTTCTAACAGGCACTCGATCGATATAGAGAAATTTACAAGACGGTAATGATGATTGTGATGCTGGATGAAGCATGGATTAGCTAGCAATGATTGTAAATGAGTGTCTAGCCAAAAGGTGAGATAGCGCCATAACGATAGCTTCGGCAGAAAGCAATTAACTAGTAATCTCCGGTGTACTACAGGGGTAATCCATGATATATTCACCCAAGTAGGAAACAAAATGTATACATCTGGCAGGACATGTGCAGTGGTGATCTTGTTATTGTAAAGGTTCGAACTTCGAAGCTTAATTCCTACTTGTGGTATATAACTGATATGTGAGGTGGGTGGGATCAGTAATCAGTTGAGACCTGGTATCATCGATCAGTTGCAACCCGGAAGACTTGTGAAACCGAGGGGCGGGTGACTCATTTATCTAAAGACTGAAGCACTGATGTTAATAGGAGTTCATTGCATTGGATGGATCAGCGACAAGTGATCCAGCGATTAGGGCGAAACCACATGCTCCCGCGCCCCAATCGACGCGCATCATGAAGATCAACTTCTCCTAATTGTCGAGTTCTTTAATCTCCTAACATGGATTATAGGAAAGAAATGAAGGCGGCGTGAGGAATCAAAGAACAGGAGGAATAGACGTACTGACCTTCCTTCTTCTCCGTTTGGACAGGATCAGATGTTCAGAAGAGGGAGGCCCCCCCTGGGGAGAACCTCTCTGCTGCTGGGATCCATGAAGTGACCAAGATGAAAGAAAGCAAGCAGCGTTACACATGTAAAACCAATTTCTAATAGTCGTTGCCGTAATCGCGGCTTTTGTGGCACGAAATCGTGTGGCCGTTTTCGAGAGAGATCCGGGGCCGCCCACACGGCCATGATGGACCGACCGGTGTGTTGTCCTCTTGACTTTTTATATATATATATATATATATATATATGAATCCTCGTTATCGCATTCTTGTAAGAAGCGATCGTAAATTTTTTCGGTATAAAGATATTTTTCTCTCACATAAACCCAGCCCAAAGTGATCTTCACTTAACCAAAGAATTTAAACAAACCAGTCGACCGAACAAGCTGCCTGTCTCCAAAAGACGGGCAGCGGATCGGGCCACGTCACCCGTTTACCCGCTAGCCGTTGGATCGACCGTTCATGCGATCTGGTCCGTCCGATTACGAGTCGGTTCGGGCGTCGACCCGTAAAGCCGCGAACCTTCCGAGGGTTGCCCGTCCTGCAGAGGAAACAGAGCCGCGCGGCGCAACCGCGCTCGACCTAGCCGTCCTCCGCCGCCCCCGCACCTCCCTCGTTCCGACGCCCCGCACCTCCCTCATCCCGACGCGGCCCAGTGGGCCAGCAGCCCCAGCGCGGGCGGGGTGCGTGCGCGTCGTTCCCGGTGACCCCGGCGCAGGCGAGGTACGGGCGCGGCGACCCCGGCCTATCCGGTCTCGGACATCCCGGCGCGGACGGGGGCCCCAACGGCCCCTGCGACCCCCGCGACCGGCGTTGCGCGCGTGGCGGCTCTGGCCACCCCGGAGCGGGCGGCGAGGGCAAGCACGGTGGCTGCGGCCACCCCGGCGCGGGCGTGAAGCTCGAGCGCTACAGCCACGGCGGCCCCCCCTCCCACGGCGACCCCGGCGCGGCGTCCCCGTCGATGGAGCGCTCGGTCCTCGCAATGAAGGTCTCGGTCGTCCAGCGCCGCTAGGCAACACTCCAGCCGTCGTTCGGTCTCCCAGTCCCCCTCGTTCGTTGAAGGATCATACTGAGGTTCAATCCAAGCTGACGAACAGAATGTCTCCCCACACGCAGCAGCCCCTCATGGTGTCTTCTTCTTCAATTTGGTAAGGGCTCGTCTTCACCTTTGTGTTTTTCCTCTTGCTCATGTGGTGCTTGTCCTCAATGATGCATGCTGAAGCTTGAGTCAACCATTTATAAGACTGATTTTTTTGTCAATCTTGGTGGGATGGCTACAATCAATTTGCGAAGAGATGGTTATAAGACTGATTTTTTGTCAATCTTGGTGGGATGGCTACAATCAATTTGCGAAGAGATGGCTTGGACCCTGCACAGCAGCAAAAACCAATTCTATGTGCACCTGCACCTTGACAAAACTGTTTCCCAGCTATAGCATTTCCTGGTTCGATTCGTCTCTTCCATTTTCGTTTGAACCTCTTCAATACAATAAGGGCCTATTGATGTGGATGTTTAAAACAGATATTAGTTCATCCTTGATACAGTAGTTTTTAAATTGATGTATCTTTTTTTTTAATATAAATTACAGCAGATCAGATGTGGAATGCCAGCCGGTGATGAACTGGACATCGACGACAACTATAGCGCACAGGAGATATTCGACAAAATTCCCATGAGGTAAACAGCACAGCCTTTTGTCTCCATGAGTATACCATGAATCAAGGCATGTTGGGGCTGTCTTTGTGATCTTCAGCGTGTTCGGCTGGACTTAAATTTTCACTGTGCATATTGAAATTTTAGGAGAGAAAAAACGTCTTACTGAAAACCATAGCCAACCAGCTGGCCATTTATGGCCAGCCGAACACGCTGCTTGTTTGCAGTACTGGTTCTAGCCAGTCCTCTTTGTACTCAGTGTATGATAGCTACTAATGTGTGTGAAATGTCTTTGATACCTACTATTTATGATTTAGGAACTAGTAATAGCTTGGTCACTGTCCTGGACTAGCTTGGTCACAATTTCTTAGGTGTGCAAAGAGAATACTATATTTCAGTTCTTAAATAGCTATTTGCTTTTCTATTCAGTTCAAGCAGCACTTAAATACTGATTGAATTCAGGCACAAGGTGTTTGATATGTCTGTCATGACTAGGTAACAACAACAATATATATATATATATATATATATATATATATATATATATATATATATATATATATATATATATATATATATATATATGTTTTTATCAGCTCTTTCGTTTTGGCTGTGGCTTGTCGATATCGATCGTAAATTTGCAATTTGAACAGTATTTTTCTCTCACACAAACTAGCCAGCAGTACTACTTTATGAACCAGCCAACCGAACATGCTTATACTCCTGGGAGTAGTTACTCCCTCTTCTAATCGGGTTTGAAAGCAACCACGGGATCCATTAGTCAGGCGCTACAGCCTCCCACAGTCCACCTTTTCAAAACGCATGCATGTATGGGAACTTATCTCCTCCTAGATTTCAGGTGATGGCTTCATGCCACATATAAAAATATTGTTTATTAAGCATAGGGATAGCGTATATCATTTTTTTGCAAGTATATGTATATACGGTAGTATGCGTTCATACTTTTTTGAGAGAGTATGTCCATATACC